AATGGGTTCTTTCCTGTCCCAAGTTTCTCATCCTATACCAGAATTCCTTCTCCTTTAAAAGTCAAGTGTAGGTAAAGTACTTGAAATAGAAAAAATGATAGAAAAACTACTTTCTCTATAAAGGTATAAGAAGTGCTTGTAGTATAAAAACTGTGTCATTTGCTGTATCGATGTAGATTTGTTGATCAAGAGAGACATTTCTAACCTCATAGGGCAAAAGTCTCATGGTAAATAAAGATACTAAGTAACAAATCACATCATTATATAATCGTAGTTGTGGTAAGGGCTGTGGAAGAACTTCTTCGGGTCCTCTTTCCCATATCCAGTATGACTGTTTCAATGATATCAGATTTCTTAAGTCAATTAACTTATCTACTTTCTCTTTGAAATTTGTCTCAAGTTATTTTTAAATGATACCTGTCACCTTGCAGTAAGGGAAGATGGATCTCTGAGCTTTCCTAAACATGCTGCCTTCCCACCATAATGAACAAGCCACTGGCTCCTTTCTCTCTTGTTTGCTTGGTCCTGTCTGCTCTCTCCTCGGTTGAGATATCTGGCTCCTGTCTCTGGTGAGGGGCTCTCCGTCGCTGTCAAGGGAAGGGAGTGACACTGAAAATGTTCTATGTGCTCTGTCAGGTTGGAATCCTGATGACGGTGTCTCCCACACTTCTGCAACAGACAGACTCCACAACAGTCTCTCTGTAGGTCCACTGACTGCTCCTCCCTGTGGCTGCAGCATCTCAGCAGGTGCCCTGATTGACCAGTGCATGCCCACCATGCAGCAGGCCTCCCTGGTCTGTGCTCAGTTGATGCCATGGTGTTCTGGGAAGGCTTAGGGTAGGGGTCATAGTTTGTACAGAAGAACTTGAGATGTATTTGCAGCAGCTCCTAGGGAAAATAACTCCTCTCAGAGGAATAGGAAGTGAGGTTTCAATCCAGAGATGTAGGAGGTTAAGCTAAAGGAAAATAGTGGCTTATTCTCAGCCTTAGCCTTTTCCTTTGGATCAAGAAACGCTTGAGGAAAGTGTATGCTGATGTTGGTGTTATTACATCCTTAATCCCAGTGATTGCATGAGTAGGTTCTTATTTTCTATAAAGTCAGTTGTATTTTCCCATTTTCTAACAAAACCTCCCTTATGCTCAAGGCATCATATCATATTGAGAATTCTTTTCCAGTTTGCCAAGACTTTGCACAGAAGGACAGGGCCTTTCACAGGCACCACATCCCAGCTGGCTGCCCTGGCAGGAAGGTTGTGCTGAGTCTTTGATTCCTGGGCTAGGGTTCTTCCTCCTATCCATCTTTCCTGAAGAATCCAGACATCAAGCTTCCAAGGGAAAAATATTTCATCAGGGATTTTTCACTTCCCTTTTGCTTTTTCAGTTGATAATATGTGACAAGAACAAGTTTCAGATTTTTCTCTGGGTCTCTACCTGGTAGAACTTAAATTGGTACCTGGCAATGCAGATACTTCCTTCGCAGTACTCCCCTGACCTGATAACAGAAAGCGCCAGCTTTGCACCACATTGAGAAGGTTTTGAATCCACCCCAATAGATTCAGCAGCGAGGGTTACTGAACACCCTAAGAGACATGAACTGCCCTACCTGGACCATGCTGTACTCAGTCATGAGCTATCCTTCTAGGGTTAGCCTGAGCTGGGAGCCTTAGAGGAACTATAAATGAGAGGATAAAGCCAGAGGGGCCCCAGGAGACCACCAAGTCTAGCTGCCTCTCCTCCTCCTCCTCCTCCTCCTCCTCCTCCTCCTCCTCTGTTCACTGATGATGAAGACGTGGATGCTGAGCTCCTGGTAGAGAGGTCGTCCGTGGGTTTTCAGTGCCAGGTGGTGCTGGAATATCTACCAGGAAGCCCAGGCTTGAACCCCACCAGCAAAGGCACAGGCACCAAAGCCACATATTTTCTTCAAGAATTTGATACTTGATGTTTCAGAGAACTGCCAAACAGTTCATCACAGGAAAAGCCAACTGGACTTTCTTACTTTTAACTTTATGAAGGGGTTGTTTTAAAATCTTGAATCATATGCTATATTTATGTAATGTAGCTTAGGACCAAAAGACCTGGTCCTCCAAGAAACTTCCTAGTAGGGCTAGTTCAGGGCACCAACTCTAGTGCTGGTGGGGACTCACTGGTCACTTGAGTGTCAATCTGTACTTGATATTCATCCTCTCCTTCCATCCCAGAATCTCCCTACTAAATATATGCTCCTTCACAATGAGGAAACTGGGCTGGCAAGATGGCTCAGCAGGCCCTTACCAAGAAAACCTGATAAGCTTTAATCCCTGAGACCCATACTAGAAGAAAAGAACAGACTCCCACAGTTGTCCTTACCTCCACACAAGTGCTGTGACATTCATATGCCTGCACCAATATAAAAATAACTCAAATAAAAATAATGAAATGAGGAAACTGAGGGTAAGAAGACAGGCCCTCATCCAAGGCCAAGGGGGTGAGGAGTAAAAAGCAGGCCTGTTCCTGCAGCCAGCCTGCCTCAAAGATCTGAGTCTTACCCATCAATCAAGAATCCTGATGCTGGACCAGCCTTGCTAATCTCGCATGTGACCTTCAGCATTGTTTTTCTTATTTATACAGTGAGGGCTTGAGGGAAAGATCTGTGAAGGGTTTCCAGTTCAACTACCTTCTGAGTGTCCCTGGTTTGGAAGAATTGGGACTGCAGAAACAGGTACCGCGTGGTCCATGCCCTGAAGGAGAAAGGCTCTTTTCTACTACAAAACCAGACTCTGCCTTCACTATGCCACACCCACTGTAGTAGTTGAATGTGTAGACTTGAAAGATAGAGAGTTCTAAATGTGAATCCTTCTTCCCACCTGTAGCTGTGTGGCTTTCAGCAAACCATCTCTTCCTTTGAGTCCTGTCTCCCCTGTCTGTGACCTTGAACGGTGTTCTCTATGTAGGCAGAGCTTATACAATGCTTACAAAGAGGCTCCATCTCATAAGAATTCTGTTTGTTGACATTTGAATGGCTCCTATTGTCATCAGCCTTGTCTTTCTGTGGGAAAGCCTCAGCCTAGATAGCTTGAATCTCACTTCTGGATACATGTTCCTGCCCTCAACTGTTATCATATCTAGCCAAAAGTCTCACAGATCCCGTATGTACAGTGATTCTAGAGCCTGGGAGTCTGGCTCTGCTTGTACCCACCTCAACAGGTCTATAGTCCGTGGACCCCTATCCCTGCCTCTCCACTTTAACTTTCCCTGCCTATCTCTGGCTCCTCCAGTTCCAGCAAGGCTCACCTGTTGGGTCTGGTGCACACTGGTGTCTGCCATGGTTCTCCACACCAGGCTTTGGTGGAAGTGCCAGGCTGGGCTGAGCCATGGCCATTAAACCCTCATCTCCTCTTTTCAGGCAGGTGTCTTGGGAATTTTCTTCAAGGTGCTTCTCCTCTAGCACCACCCCAGCCTCTTCAGGGATCACTTGCTGACATCTCACAGAGGGTGTGTATGAGGGAGCAAGATTTGTCCCTGGGCTTAGTTGGTGATGAGAAGATTGTCGTTAACAACCCTCAAGGGCCCAGGATTTCACATGATGATGTAGCCTTTGTTCTCATTATTCCTTCTGATCCTCACAACAGAAGAGACAGGAAGTAACAACAGGGTACAGCAGGAAGTCCAAGAGAAGGAAAATGAGGCCTGGGAAGTTAAATAACTTACCTGCTTTAACAGTGCTGGCTGGAGGCATAGTTAGTTTTCTGACCAGGAGCTCTATTTCCTGCCTAGCATTGACCACTATGAGATTGCTTAGTGCTCAAGAGGGCTATTAAATATTAAAGAATCTCCTGTGTTGGTTTGCTGGTTTTCCATTAACTTTTATCATTGTTCAAGGAAATACTAATATGCCTTCCAGAGAAGTCTCTAATACCAGAACTAGTTCTTCTTCCTCTCTACTTCCTCTTTGGAATCAGCATATTAATTGTATTCTTCTTTGTCTATTGATTCAGGGGTATGAAGATCCCCAGTTTCATAGGACAACCTCAGCTTCCTGGCCAATGAAAATATTAATCCAGTCCTGGAGCTATAGTGCTTAAAGAAACAGAAGGCATTAGGGTCCATGACTCGGTGGGTCTCTTCAGGAGAACAAATGCATGCGTATGGAGATGCAAAAATCAAGCAGGGTTTTATTAGGCCAGCTAGCTGGGGCTGACCGTCCTTCCAAGACATGCAGGTCTGGTTGGAGCGATCAACCCCGAGGCAATTTCAGGTAAAGATTATATAGGCTCCCACAACCGTTACACAAAAGCCCG